TGGTGCGGATCCTGGCCAGCCTGCCCGCCAGCCAGCTGGTCCTGGTGTGCCGCCTGGTTTGCTCCCAGTGGAAGGCCCTGGTGGACGGGGCAGCCCTCTGGCTGCTGAAATGCCAGGCCGAGGGCTTTGCCAGGCAGGACGCCGAAGCGGAGGGCGCAGACAGCTGGCAAACCCTCTACTTTCTGAATAAGAGGAAGCGGAATTTAATCCGGAATCCCAACGGTGAAGGTAAACAGCCGGGCAGCGTTGGGAGGATCCAGCCTTGGCGGGGTGGGGTAGGGCAGCCCTGTTCTCCCCTGCCTGGCCACGGGCCCGGATCTGAACAGGCCCCTACCGGGCCCCTTTCCCAGAGCCAGGCTCTTCCGGGGTCCCTGGACCGAAGGCCCGGAGGGGAGCCATTTCAACTGCAGGGGAGACCCCAAGTGCACAAGGGAGGGTCCTTTCTGTCCACACGGGAGAATCTCTTGCCTGTCCGGCTTGAAAATATTCGGGCCGGAGGGAAGGGGCGTTGGACGCTCCCGCTTTTCTGCTCGGTTGTAGAGGGTCTCCAGTATTGGGAGAACGTGCAAAATGGGGGCGACGGCTGGAAAGTCGAAGAGCTGCCTGGCGACTTCGGGAAGGACTTCCCCAGCGATGAAGTCCACACCTATTTCGTCTCATCTTTTGAGTAGGTCCATTTCTCGGTCTCCCGGGCAGCTTTTGGGGGGAGGTGGGGGTGGCAATGTCCCAAGAGCTCAGCAAAGCCATGGAACCCAAGGCGGTCCGCTTTAAATTCTGAAATCAAGCTCCTAGTCCTTCTGGTCATCGCAAGAACGTCAGGCCTGGAAGTGAACGCTTCCCAGACGGGCGTCCCCTTCACGCAGCCCTTTTCTTCTCAGCTGGTGCAGTAAATCCCAAGTGATCGACCTGCGGGCTGAAGGCTACTGGGAAGAGCTGATGGACACCGTGCAGCCCAAAATCGTGGCGAAAGACTGGTGAGTGGCCAGGGGTCCCCGAGCTCCTGCTTCCTCCCCAGGTCACCGTTTGCCTCCTGCTCCTCTTCCTCCCCCAGGTACGCGGCTCGCTGCGACGCCGGCTGCCTCTACAACCTGAAGGTGAAGCTGCTGTCCGCTAACGAAGACGTGGTGGCCGAGTTTGCAAGCGAAACCATCGCGGTCCCCCAGGACAACGAAGGCGAGTGGGCCGAGGTTGGTGCTCGGGAGAAAACTCCCAAGGAGGAGAGGAAGAACAGGACAAAGTCGGCCGAGACTGGTTTCCAACCGCCGTTGCCAAACCAGGGTGGGAGAAAAACAGCGGGGGGGGCCCCCTACATTTTGGAGAGCGCCCATTAAAATGCAAAGACAGAAATAATGGAGGGGTTGAGTTTTGCACCCTCTGAGCCACGTCTTCCCTTTCTCTCCCTTCTTGAAGATCACTCACACGTTCGCCGAGTACGGTCCCGGAGTTCGCTTCATCCATTTCGAACATGGGGGTCAGGACACGGTTTTCTGGAAGGGCTGGTACGGAGCACGCGTGGCGTCCAGCACCGTGCTCGTGGAGCCGTAGCGCTGCCCGCCGAGCGGATCCCCCTTCCCTCCCGGAGGCCGCCCGCTACCTATTCGACGGGAAACCCTTGCTCTGAAACCAAAATGCACACTTAAAAAAATCCCCCCCGTATTAAAGAGAGAAAAAGATGGAGAGAGTCCTTCCCTTTTTCAGGCTTTTTCGGGATAGAAATCCTGCGGGTATACTTGGCCCATGGCAAGCTGGGGATCAGAAGGGAATGTTTCTGCCATTCCAGATTCAGGAGGGGCGAGTGGAGAACGGTCTCCTAAACTCAGTTTCAAAAACGTCATGAGCGCAGTTGCCGTCGAGGAGGAGAAGCCGGCCAAAGGTGGAGGGGAAAGAGAGGGAAAGAGACCTCCCCAAATGCTAAATTTGGTCCCAGATTCCTACATCCTGCCCTGCTTTTAAAAATCAGCATTATTCCTTGGCTCTAATTTGGCACCATAATGTGTACATGCTCCTGAAACAAACGAGGGACTTCAAAAAGGCTGCCCAGTTGCAGTGAAAGACAACCGTACGTTGCGTTTCCCGTTATTTATCCTTTTCCGATGCCAACGATCCTGCGAAGGCCTCTCTCTGGATGCCAGGGGACTTCCTCTTCCTGACAATCAGTCGGAAGCTTGACCACTGGCATGCGAGGCTCTGCGTGGCCACATTGGCAAGAGGGAGACCCAAAATCAGGGCTGCAGCCTTTCTGTCTCAACCCCCGATGAGGTCGCAGGCCAGACCGGATCCCTCTTGCTGCAAACGTGGCCTTAGCATAAATCTTAGCGCTTTTCAATGGCTAAACACATAACGGGGCTTCAGCGTTCATGAGAACAAAATACAGGGTAGCCTTTATCATTATAATTAGCAGGACTATTCGTCCTGTTATTTATATTATTCTTTCTTGCAATTTCTCTTCACCACCTGCAATGCAATTTCCCCGTGCAATTTCCCACAGACTCTGTAAGGCGCAGTTTTCTCCTGATTTCAAGGGGTTTTTCGCCTTTTCCCCATCCCTAATGTGG